CGCTGTGGTTAACCATGATATGCGCATGACATGTAGCTTTAAATCTTAGACAGAAATGTGACCATAGGGTGACATGCGGGAAGCATCTGAGCAGTTTGCAGAACTGAGTACTTCCTGTTACGTTAGATGAAGTAGTAATCAGACTGGCCAAAGAGCAACAACTGATCCATTCTGAGCTTTCCATCAGAAAGGTAAGACAGATCTTCTGCTACATACCCGATTATAGCTGACAGGACTTGGTTATGTCTTCAAATGTTATTTTTTATAAAAATGATAAAAACGAAACAAGGTTGTGAAACGGTTTGCCTCCTGGCTGATGCAAGCTTAAGCTGTGTGCTTCAAAAGGAACTGTCTGTATCTGAAAACATTACATAGTGCCGTGTTGGGTTTTTCAAAAAAAAAAAAAAGTGTGAACATTTCCTGTTTTCTTTTATTCTCTTCTTTCTGTCAAGCACCTACAGTCAGTACTGCGAGACTGTCCTCTGAGAGTGGCTGAAATGAGCTGAACTTTTATCACTTTTCGTCCTCACCCGTGCTCTGTTCCACCTGCAGACAGGTAAGACACGTCCACTGCTGTGGTTAAACTTTTCTGACTTAAGGATCTACCGCTTATCTCGTTATGTTTAATGGTGCCAGATAAGTTCTGGCACAGGAGTCCAATTTATCAGATTTTATTTCTCTCTACATATTTTACATTTTGGTTTGTTTTTTTGTTTTTGTTTTTTAAAGATTAGAATTTTCTCTGACTGAAAATACAAAATGTGAATCCTCTGTCAGTCTGCTTAAAAGTTTTCACATTTAATATTCAGTGCTATACTTTTGAGTTTTGGTGTGAACGTAAAGCAAAGGGTGTGGTGACAGACACATGATTGCCTCATCACACGATGTAACTGGTACACTTGACACAATGATTTTTCCTCCCATGTATCTTTTTTCCATGTATCTTTTTTTTTTTAACTTTTAACTTATTCTGCAATTTCAGATTTGGTTTAACGCAGCTATGACACTCCTCGCCATGAAGACATTTCCAGCCTTTTTATGGGGAATATTCATCGTGGCTGCTTCCACCCCAGAAACCAGTGGTTCTACCTACACTGTTGAGCCCAACAAGACAAGCGCCCAGCTGACAACTGCACTTGCGTTTCACAATAAAACAGATTCACACCCTGCAGTGTGGGGAACAACTCACAGACCTGCAGCTACTACTGTTTCTGCAGCGGCACAGAGCACAGTGGTAACCACAGTGGAAACTAGCGCGGCAGCTATCAGTAACAAAACTAAAAGCTCCATTGACAGTGTAGTCACTTTGATTCCTACAAGCCCTGCAGCAGCAGTCCCAAGCAGCTCCGCTCCGCAGTTACTTCATACCTCCACAGCTTTGATTGAAACTCAACCCACCCACCAAGTGACCATGAAAGAAACAACAACACATGCAGAGGACGGGTCCCATCCACAGTCAACCACAGCGCCAGACACCACTGCTCCTGCAACATTCTCATCAACAGCAGCTGTGTCTTCTCCACAGCCCACATCCATCACTGAGTCTGCAATGACATCAGTGTTATCATCCACTTTCTCTTCTGAGAAATCTACTGCAGCTCCAGGCACTCAGAACCTCAGCAGCCTTTCAGTTTCTACTGCACGCCCATTGACGGCAGAGTCGATCTCAGAGACAACACGTGTGCCACAGGTGTCCACCTCTTTGCCCCCCACAACAGCCAAGACACTGAAAACCAGCCCTGAGATTTCATCTGCAACTCAGTCCGTTTCTGCCTCGAGTTCTTCTATCTCCACACAGTCAAATGCTACCTCTACGTCAACTGAATCTCCCAACTCCACCATTGCAATAATCCCGTTCCCCCGTAGGCCCACGGTGTTACCACATCCAATAACTAAGCCAGCCCCAGCTACTAAATCGCCACACGGTGAAATCTCAAAATCAACCCCCAGCACCGAGGTTCAACCCTGCTTGACCCAGAACGTGGTGAAGCAGTGCCTCATTGTCATCGCCTGCCTGGCTTTGGTGTGCACAATCTTTATCTTTACTACCATTGTCCTCTGCGCCAAACTGTCATCGAGGAAGCGCAAGCGCAAACCTCAAAAGGAAACGGAAATGATGTGCATTTCTGCTCTGCTGCCCGAGAGGAGCTACAACTATACGAGACAGCACAATCCGGTGCCCAATGGTGTCCTGGTGATGCCAAGGGCTGAAGACAGCGATGACGAGGTGGGAGATAATCTGACTCTCAGCAGCTTCCTTCCAGAGAATGATCGCTACGTGTAGATGGATTTTACTATGCTTTCATCTGTTTGCTATCAGTCAGCATGGAAATAGCTGCTTTTTTAATAAACTCCTGCTTCCCCTTTGATATTACTGGTTTTGCTTCAGTACCTGCCGTATTTCAGTGGAGGAAGAGAGAAACCACAAACAGACAAACATTCACGGTTTCATGTGCAAGTGCCTGTAACTGCATGTGGTATTTGACAAGGTCTGTGCTTTTTGCATGACTTTAGCCTCCACAGGATGAAGAGTGATCAAAGTTTGTTTTTTGTTTTTTTTTCATCCGGAGTTGAGCCCTGCTGGTATTTCACTTTACGACAGGGGACAGGAAGACTTGCTGTGCAAAGGGATATTATTGCTCTGTTCAGACACTGTTCAGTTTACAAGAACTATCCAGGTGGCTGAACGCTTAAAGGGACAGTTCAGCCTCAAGTCAAATTTACATGTTGTTCTGCTGGCCTGTAGTGCTATTTGTCCACCTGATGTGCCGGTGTTTGCAGATATTTACTGTAGAGTTGCCTTCCTTGTCTTGAATATACCAGAACCAGGTTACAACTGACTTCTGCTACTCATTGCAAATTTCCTTTTTCAAGAAATCATCCTCAAATGGTGTTGTGAGCAGTTTTATGCAGGAACTATGTCTTTTCGACCTAACTGCATCAGCCAGTCAAAAGCTAATATCACACCTCAGCTAAGGGGGGAAACAATCGGTGTTTACATCCTGTCACAACGTCGTTGTGCAGTGGCACACTTCCTTCTGCAAAGTGATGCAATTGGCTGGTGCACTTTAGAAAAAAGAAAATGTAACCACACAAAACTGCTCGTTATGGTGGATTTATTTTCCATAAGTGGGTTGTTATGATTGATAAGAGCCAGGGAGGTTTCAAAGACAGTTTTTGAAGCTGTGAGCACCATAATTTTAATATCTAACACCATTATATTAAATAAAAAAAGTGAGATAAGAGAAAAAACAAGAGATGGATGGATGGATATCACCAATTTTGTGCAATTCACACCAAAAGATGAGCAGATACATAGATGGTTGAACGCTTGATGATGTAATGACCCTCTTGTCAGTTTGTCTTGGTAGGTCATGTGACCCTGGCATGGAGCTAACATGGCTTAGTTGTAGGGTTTTCATTCATCAGGGGCTGATTGTGGCATATAAGGAGCAGTCCTGGTGACTCTTTGTGTCCTGTCCTCTCCTCTTCTGTATGGACTCCCTGCAAGCCTGTAAGAAAATAGGATCACCCGACTAGGCCACCTTCGGTCCACATGTATCACATGACCTATAAAAACAAACCAACATGGGGGTCGTCACAATGCACAAAACTAATTTCATGTTGTTTAAGTGTGTGTGAAGAGATCTACTTTCTGATAATTTATTAAATAAATGTCTTTGTTAACTTTAACATTTTAGTAACTCTTCAGGTTAAGAGTCATAATGAAAAAAAGAATAAAACATTTCTGCAAACTTAGAACTGATCACTTCTCAGTGTAGAAGTTAAACATATTCTGTGGTTCTCTCATGACAACAAAAGTTTGAGGAACTTATCTGAAAGATTTCCTCAAAACGATTATGCCTTGCAATCCATATTGTGCTTAGTGTTATGAATATTTTCAACATTAAAAGTAGCCTTTTTAATAAAAAAAAAAACTGTCTGTAAATTTCTAAACAGTCAAAATAGAAATAAACTTTCTGTGATCTCCGTCAGTGCCCTCGTTTATGAAAGCCCTCACAAAAAAAGCTTTTTTCCTGCTCCTGACTGGATCTCAATTTCACTTCCTTTCCTGAGAAAAGAAAACAATTCCCTGAATACATATTAGGGCCATGAGACCACATTTTTTTCTCTCTCTTTTTAAATTTTCCCCCGACATTTACAGACGTCGGTGACTATCAACAGAGCTGAGGCAAATGTAAACCTGGAGGATGCAGGAACCCATCGCACGCTCCTCATGACCATATAAAGCTACGTTTGTCGTGAGCGATCAAAAGCAAAACAGACATGCAAGAAAAATGCAATCACTCAAACAAAGTCACACTCTCTCCCTTAAGTGGTCTCACACACATACATACACACACACACGCTTTAATTGCTCGTCTCTGGATAAAATGCTCCACATTCTCCAGCGTGTGGCCTTTACCTTCCCCCTTCTCTTTGCTGTCCACACAGGAACCATTAACCTTTTCCTGCATTGGCAGATCACTCATACAAGCTGCTCTCTGACTCTTTTTTTAGCCCCAGAGGTTTGCTGTTATTCATCAGTGTGAGGGACTAAGGGGGTAAAACGAAGGAAAGGCTGTCAGTCAGAGGCTCTGTTTTATTTTTAGAGGGTTTATTTATTTGTGATGCTTTTATAGCTCTTAAGAATTAATTTTGTTTTGTGGAATTGGCTTTCCACATCCACTGAGCCAAACATCAGAGTGGAGAAGAGGTCCCTGCCCCCACAGCACATTATAAACTCCCACATAACAAGAACAATCTGTGTGCAGGCCGGAGAGCTCAGACACTCTCGGGGGAAACTGGAGGGGGAGGAGAACAGTGGATAGGCAGAAGGAGGGATTTCTCCTCATGGTAAACTGCTTTTTTTTTTTTTTAAATACCCAGACAAACCTCCACACTGAAACCTGAAACTCGCGGAGGGGGCGTGCTTCACCGAGCATTCGCCGCTCTTTGCTGTGCTAAGTTCACTTTTTTCCAGTCTCATCCTCCTCATTCTGAGGGCTTTTCAGCAGACAGCTCTTCTTCTGCAGTGGATGGTGAGTCAAATGTGTCATTTCATAAGGTTTTGTCCTTAAAATTCAATAACAGCATCTTGACACCTTGTTTGACAGCATCATGATAGAAGGATTCAAACTCAGGAATTAGGAACATGATAATAAAAAAGTAGAGACAAGGTTCAGATAAAAGTTTTCGACATTACGTTTGCAAATAAAATAGTCGCACTTGTTAAATCTGCTGAGTGAAGATTTGTGTGTGCTTGTGACCTCCTTCTGTGCGTGTTACTGTGTCAGTGTATATTAGGTCCAGGGTGAGCAGGGTGATTGATTTGGGAAAAAAGAAAGAAACAACAACATCAGAACCCGTTTCCCAGACTTTCATGTCTCGCAGCTTGCACACAGATGGCGCAGAAAGATTTGGGAGACAGACTGAGGACGTAGCTTAGTGTGATCAAAGTTCTGGTTGAATTCTGGTTGTTCGGTTAAATTAATCAAGTTGCAAACACACATACTATTTATACTTCTTGTTGTAGAAAGCCATGTAAGATACTTTTGGTTATATCTGAGCAGGAAGTTTTCCTGCTAAATCAACACCTCTCGGGTTAATGATACGCTCAATATAATTTATTCTAATATGTAAAAAGGTGTAGTAAAAATTGTAATTTGTAGAGATTTGGTTAATTTGCTTGAGATATAATTCTATGGTCACTTCTTTAGATACACATTGCTAGTACTGGGTTGGATGCACTTCAGGGTTTTCATGGCAGAGATTCAAAAAGGTGCTGGGAACATTCCTCAGAGATTTTAGTCCATATTACCATGACAGCACACAGTTGCTGCAGCTGTGTCTCATCCGTGATGTGAATCTTCCATTCCACCACATCCCATCGAGATCAAGATCTGGTGACTGTGGAGGGTATTTGAGTGCAGGGAACTCAATCTCATGTTTAAGAAACCAATTTGAGATGATCTGAGCTGTGCGTTATCCTCCTGGGAGCATGTGGGCATAAAAGGGATGGAGATAATCAGCAACAAAAGTCAGGTAGGCTGTTGCATTTAAACGATTCTCAGTTGGAACTATTAGGTCCAATGTGTGCCAAGAAGCCGTCAGCCTAAGCCATTGATGCAAGGCAGGATGGATCCATGCTTTCATGTAGTTTATGCTAAATTCTGACCTTAACACCTGGATTTCATCAGACTAAACAATGTTTTCCACGCTTGTCTTCTTGTCTGGTGTCGTCCTCTGCTGCTGTAGTCAGTCTGCTTCAAGAGAGATGCTCTTCTGCATACCTCGGTTGTGGTGATTTTAGTTTATTGTTGCCGTCTTATCTGTTTGAAGCAGTCTGGCCATTCTCCTTTGACTTCTGGGATTAACGAGGCATTTTCACCCAGAGAACTGCTCACTGGATAGCTTTGCTTTATTGGACCACTCTCTGTAAACCCTAGAGAAGATCAAGACCAGCCTGTCTGACACAAGCAACAAAGTCTCTTAAATCACTTTTCTTTTTTATTCTGATGCTCGGTTTGAACTGTAACAGATCAATGCACTAAGTTGCTGCCATGTGACTGATTAGAAATTTGCATTGATAAGCAGTTGAAAGTGTATGCCTAATACAGTGGCAATAAGCGTATAAGGCATAAGTATAAGTTTACATGTATTTCTTTCAAAGTGCAATTTCAACTAACCCAGAGCTGGGAGCCTTTTCTACTCTAACTTTTACTCATGACATTTAAAACAGTGCAACCAAGTGAACATTAAGATAGACAAATATAACTAATAAAACATGATCTTCTCGTTCTTTGTAAACTGTGGAATTTCAGTCATCCATCTTTGTTTTTGTTGTAAAGCAGACTGAATGTCTCAAGAGCAGCACTACTAATTTTACTTTTCTGAAAAAAAGATGTTAAGCAAATACACACAAAGCACATATTCTCTTGACGTGTGTCACTGATGTTAAGTGTTATTTACAGATTCCGAGGGGAAAAATGCCGCTCCTGATGGCCCTTCATCACATTGGTCTGTGCGTGGTGCTTTGCATCAGTAGCAGCCTCTCCACACCTCTGCCTTACTCAGATACTCTGGAGGGAAGCATAGATGAGGAAGACAACAACTACTTCACTTTCTATCTGCCTATTACCAATGTCTCCACAGAGTACCAGACCGCACCTGCCAACACAGCCCAGGAGGAAACTGACTTTCTGAATCAGCTTGTGAACTTTCTTAATGAGAACATGCTCCTCATCCTCGTTGCAGCCAGTCTCATCCTTCTCGTCTTCCTTATCATCTGCGGGGCAGTTTTCATGAGCCACAGACGCAAAGTCAACGCTTACTATCCTTCCTCCTTCCCCTCAAAGATGTATGTGGATGACAGGGACAAAAGTGGAGGTGCTAAACCCTTTAACGAAGTTCAAGAAAAAGCTTCCCCGGGGCAGGAAAGCGAGCCAGTGGACTCTCACAAGCAGCTCCAGGCTGACATTATGAGGGCTGCCAAGAGCCTGCGCGCTCCAAATAAATCTGTTGATGCTGCAGAGAGAAGCGATCCCAGTCAGAAAGTAGCAGACCACAGTCCCGAGGACAGCTCAAAAGCAGATGACAGCATCCTAGACCATCAGCTCCCAAGTCTCCCAGAGGAAAATGAGCTGAGCGAGCTTTCCGACAGTGAGGCCACCACCACAGAGGGCAGCTCAGAGCCGAATCCTCCTGAGCTGCCTCGGTCAGAGGAAGTTGATTCACAAGAGCCTTTGACGGGCAGGAGTCCGCGGCCCTCCTCTCTGCACATTCACAATGACTCTGCTACACTTCAGCTCATCGCAGGAGAGAAAACTGCCTTCTAAGAAATCACATTTTTGCAGAAAACCAAAGATTTCTGCAGGATTTTATTTGAGGAAATGCAGAGAAGTTACTAAAGATACAGCAGGCAGAGTTGAAGATGATACATGATACTCTCTTTATGCACCTTTGTACAAGTTTCACAGTACACAAATAGTGTTAGTATTTTTTGTGTTCCTGTGTTTGAATTTAAACATCTCTGCTGGTAACAGTAGGTGGTGTGGTCCCAATTACTCTGCGCTTCTATGCAAAAAAAACAAAAACAAAATTGAACAACTAGGACTCAGTTCCGTTTTTGAATTTTTAATATGAACCTGTTATGCTTTTCCCCATTTTCTGTCATATATACACTGCTACAGTAGGGTGGACTTTTATATTAAACATGTCCGGAGTTTCAAATAAAAAGTTCTCTGTGACATCACCAGGGTACACATTCCTGATAATGGCTTGTTTCAGGAAGTAGATGCATTGAGGCAATGCTCTTTAAAAAAAAAAAAAAACACAACAAAAAAAACAGCATGATGATTTTTGACCTGCGAGTCATGTAAAGCTACTCCAGCAGACTCCAAGAGTAAAACTGTGGAGTTTTAAATTTTTCTCTTTTTAGGGTGCACGCTTAGGATTCCATACTTTTACGGAGCCCGTCTGACTGGTTTTATCACTGCACATCACACGCTGGACCGCTTAAACTGTGGGCTCGTACACATCTCAGTGGGACTCCAACGCAGCCGCCTCTGTGAAAAGCCTCCAAATTAATCAAAACGGCAATCGGACGGCATGTCGGGTCTTAACAGCCCAATAAAGCTAGTGAGTGCAGATGATGTTGAACGTCGCTGTGTTCTGCAAAGGCGCTTTTCAAAATTGTGTGCACGTAAGTCAGAGAAATAGAAAGCGGGTGTGAGGGAGAGAGAAGCTGAGACACTGAGATAAAGCGAAGCAGTCAGGATTTGTCAAGTGTATAAAACCACAATCTGGTGTGTTTTGGCTGCAGCGGATCTCAGCTGCAGAGCTTTTTTAGGTGCGTTATTGTAGCAGGAAGTGCATGGGCGTATTTGCAGGCTCTGTGTCTATGTGCAGCTTACTCAAATGGATCACAAGGATGACTTATTTAAAGAGAATTAAGAATAACCTCATTAGTTATGCCTGTATTTTTCTGTAGCTGGAGGGTCAAATGTTTAAATAATAAACAGGATTCAAAAAGTACAATTAGGGATAATTTTATTACAGACTTTTAAAGAAGCATTTGTAAATATAAGTTGCATTTGAAACTACTGGACCCCCTTTCTTTGGTTCAAGCCACTTTGCTTAATCAACAGGTCAGTGCGTTTAGAGTGCAGAGGGTATAAACAGCTTTTAGCTTTCATCCATACCTCCATCACACCTTTCAAAATAAAAAACACTCCACCTGTACAAAGCAATTTCCAAAATAAGGCTCATCTCTGTACCAACAACCCAAAACAGTGCTTATATTGTGCGTTTACGTGACAGGCTAAAAGATACAGTATACACGGTTAGAGGATCGCAGACTAATAAAAACAGCCTGGTGTAACACTGCTACAGAGGGTTGAAAGGTGGTGGGCTCGTCATCATTGCCGCAGGAAAGTGAGGTGTTGACGCTGGACTATTTCTCTTCTTGGCAGCAGGGAGCCAAACCGGGCCCAGCACAAAGCGTGAGCGCTCCATTTAATTGCTGGCTCTGACTGCCTCCTGCTGGTCATCTTGTTGCTTGAGACGATAGTCAGCAAGGGCTGCCTTGATGGCATCTTCGGCAAGCACTGAACAGGAAATAATTGGAGGTTAAATGTGCACATGTGCAGAGAAGTTTGGAAAAAGAAAAAGAAGAGCCTTGGCGTATTAAAAGAAAACTTACTGGAGCAGTGAAGCTTAACAGGAGGAAGACTGAGCTCCTTGGCGATGTCTGTGTTCTTTATCTTCAAAGCTTCGTCCACCTGAAAATAAAAGCCCACACACAGCCATGAGCGGAGAAGAACACGCTAAATATTTAATAGATTAAACATTCAAAGGAGCTGAGATGCAGGTCTGTAATGTGTTCACTCACAGATTTGCCTTTCACCCACTCGGTGGCCAGAGAGCTTGAGGCGATGGCAGAACCACAGCCAAAAGTTTTGAACCTGGCATTCACAATCTTCCCCAGGTCATCCACCTCAATCTGAGAAAAGTTTTGACTGTTACTCATGTGACCAAAAAAAATGAGCAAGAAAAAAAACAAACAAACAAAAAAAAAAAAAAAACCCCAAACAATCCTAATCTCTCCCATTCTTTAAAATGTATCCCTACTAAACTAACAAAAATAAACGCCTTTAAGTCACACACACTTCGTAACAAACATACCTGAAGCTTCATTACATCCCCACAGGCCGGGGCACCCACCAAACCAGTTCCAACATTCTTGGAGTTTTTGTCCAGCGAGCCCACATTTCTGGGGTTCTCATAATGATCCACCACCTTCAGACAACAGAGAGGGGAAAAGGAGCATCAGGCCAAATGCACTCTTCCTGTTGCTGTCAGAATTCAACAATCACATATTTGCAGGAAGGAAATGCCATCTATATTCAGATACAATGGTAAAAAGAATGTGTACAAGTCTTGGCATCCTTGTTACACAACTACAACTTGACTCACTTGCATAACTGACACTGGCATGAGCAGATTAGGACTGGATTTCATGGTCTACACAGTGCAAACTCTGTCCTTCAGCCCTCCTACTCTATTTCTTGCTGAGTCACTCTGACCAAGACAGTGTGAAGTGGCCGAGCATCGCAAAACCTTTTGCATTTTTCATCAGAAATTAAAGGTTTAAAGCCAGATTCCTCAGCTGATGGCTAAAACATGACCTCTTATCCAAGAAATAATTTTAATAAAAGGCATATAATGTCTAAACCTCCACAATCACCCAAAAACATCCAGCTAAACATAAATACATCACAGTTATGGCTGCCATGACCCGGTTAACCTGCTGTTGCGTCAGTACACCTTCACAGGTATCACATAACATTTACCTGACTCTAGCACAACATACTGCCACCCTTTAAAGCGCATCAATCGGATATGGTTAAAACTGTGGCAGTGGACAGCTGGTTGCAGATTAGTGACGTTATTCCAGCCTTCAGTAAGCTAAATAGCTACAATGAAACAATACATTTGTTCATTTTAACGGGCTAGCATCATGGAGGTGAAGGGTTTGAGATAACCAGCGTAAAGGCAGTCTGATGTAACTTGAAACATTTGTGCAGCCAGCTAAATATAAGCCACCGTCCTATGGTTGTCAACAAAATGCCCGAGCAGAAAGATCTTACAGAGTCGTGGTTGCCCGTGTTTAGTAGATCAGTTAGCTGATATACTCCAGGATGCTTTCAGTAGGAGTAAACATGAACCAACAAGCAGCTGCGACGCTGTAAGCCGAGCTCCCCGTTAAAGAGAAGCTACAGACTGGACCACTTACCTTCTTGTGATAGCAACACTGAGTGATGAACTCGGGAGCGGAGAGCCTCCTAGTGAGGAAAGCCAGAGGACTGAGACACTTGTTCGCCACGGTGCTCGCCATGTTGATCCAATGTCGCAGTTAAGAAAGCTCGCAGCTCAAGAGAATGGAACTACACGTCACTGACAGGAGGAGGAGCTACAATAATCACATCTGCGCATGTCTGGTTTATGCAATTTACAAAAAACGCTCTTTTGATAATACAATACAATTAGACTTTCATTTGTTTATTTTTTTTTTTCTCTTTGTATTTTAATTGATCAAATTATCTCTCTTTACGAGTCTTTATCAAGCATTTAGTAGAGGTGGGTAGATTAAGCCAAATATGGAGTGCCACAGGATTCATACTTTAGTTTATTTCTGTCCTCTAAGGTTCATCAAAAAAGAAACATGCCTGTGCAATCGCTGCTCCACTCATGCAGTCACTTTGACATTAACTAATTATAAAAATAAAGTGTTATTGGTCGTCTTGGCTGTTAGGTTTGCTAACTGATTAACAATAGACTATATTCAGACATTCAAATAATATATTCAGCCCACTGAATTGTGTTAAATACTTTATTTTATTGGAAATGAAAAACTACACCTCAGACATGAATTCTGAAAAATTCCTGAGCCCTTTTGTGTTGACTGTTAGGTCCATTTTATTTATAGCCTAAGAAGCATTTAAATGGCAGGCGTTGACCCAAAATAGGAGACAGTCACGTTAAAAAACAAAAAACAAGTTTCAAAATACACGAAAAAGCTGAAAGGTGGGTTTTGTTCTGTTAACTAATTAATCTGTGAAGTTGAAAGAAAATGACAATGATTTAGTAGGGAGTAAAATGTGTTCAGAATTTGCTAATTGATGATGATTCATGTCATAAATCAAGACACACTGCTCTCCACTACATAAGCTGCATCAGCAATACTGGCCCTGTATTTACTTGGTATCAGATCGATACTGATATTTGCATCGCACTAGTATTTAAAGAAAACCTTTATGTTCTCCAGAGTCAAAAGATTACATTCAACTTATATGTGGGTTTTTCTTCTTGCTGCTGTTCCCTTGAGGGGTTGGCGCAACAGATCTTCCTGCATTTCACCCTATCTCTAGCATCCACCTCTGTCGTACAGCCCTCTGCATGTCTTCCTTCACTACAGCCCTGAATTTCCTCTGTGGTCTTCCTCTTTTGCTCCTGCCTGGCAGCTCCATATTCATAGAGTCCCGATCAAAAATTTAAGTCCACTTGAAAAATGGCAAAAAAAAATCATATTGTGCATGGTTGGACCTTAACAAGGTTCCAAGTCAAGCTTCAACGTGCAACAAGAAGAAATGGGAGTGAGACGAAACTTTTTTATTTATTTTTTTTGAGATATTCAGAGCTCTTCTTTGGATGTTTGCTGCCTTTTCTTCTGTTCTCTGTCAGATAGATCTCACACTGCTTCAGTGATGTTGAGGTCTGGGCTCTGGAGAGGCTGAGTGATATCCATGCTTTTACTGCATTGCCAGTTTGTTTGTGTATCACTGTTATGATGAAATATGAAGCTATTTCTAATCAGTAGTTTTTGAGATGTTACTGCTTGGTGGATTAAAATCTGAGGGTACTTTTCAGTGTTCACAGTTTTATCATTTCATTTGACAAGATGCCCAACTGGACTGTCTCCACCGCGACAGAGCCTCCACCGTGTTTGACAGATAGACACTTACTGTTGTACCTCTCTCCTGAACTCCTCCATACATGCTTTCGTTGTATTATTGTAATGTCTTTAACTTTAGGGAGTGAATGAGCCAACTGCAAAACTACAGGCCTTCAGCTTTTGGGAACAACCAACTGCTCACCAACTTTGCTACGACGATACAGTCGTTCGTTCTTTACAATGAATACTTCCCGTACTCTGTCTGTAATCTGTGTTGATTCTTGGATGCTCTTAGTAAACAAGGGTGCTAAAGAGAGGTCCTCCCTTTGGAGTTGGACAATATTGCTCGGGACAACCAGGAGCTCCTCAATCTCTGGT